CTTCTTTTTCTTTTTAGAATTAAAAAAGCAACAAGTGTCTTCTTCGTCTTCCTCAGGAGGCGCATCACCAAGTAAATCTGATGTTGGTGTGTTGTTCGGACCCCAGACATTTAATTCTTGGAAACATTCCGTTTCTATCATCTAAACAAGCAATAAATGACAATGCAAATTACATATAAGATAAGCAATAAATGGTGATTTGCATAAAGAATCACAAACCTCTTTCTGCCAAGGTATCGCCACAGAACCAGTTGCAAATTTTTTGTAGAACAAAGCATCTGTTTCATCTAAGACAACCCCCTTAACAGTAGAAAACTGCTCTATATCAAGTACATCACGACAATATACTGCACGTGGCTGTAGCATATTAAAAAAATTGAAATAAATTTGACACTATCTATATATACATATATATAAAACTATCTATAATATATATAAATATCTATAAGCTCAAGCTATTAAAAAACAAAAACAAAAGTATTATTACATCTGGTGGAAATGGAGGCTTAGATTTACCAGCTTCTAAAAGCTGCCAATTAATGGTTGAAAAAAATTCATGTTCTTTTATGTGCATAACATCATTATCTCGACATCCCAGCCTGCTGTGTCTGTCTTTTTCTAAGAACTAAACAAAAAAGGGAGTTTATTATAGGTTAAAAAAAAAAGGAAAGAAAAAAATTAATTTAATCCAAATTTAATACCATTTTACAAATACTTTTAGCAGCATTGCTAAACTTCTCACTGTATACTTCAGCATCTTCCGTAACTCGCCTTTCCACTTCTTCACGCTTTACTTTCTCTTTTCTTGTGCGAAAAGGAGCCTAAAAAATTTATTCATGTAAATATCTTATATTCCAAAAAAAAAAAAAAAAGTAAAACATAATTTATTAACTATTTTTATTCATCAACCTTTAAGCATTTAACAAACCTTTCCTTCAATCATTTCATATATAATGCAACCAAGCCCCCACCAATCTGGTGAAAACTTATATCTTTCATTACGAACAACTTCTGGAGCTAAATATAAAGTTTTATTTTAAAGTATTTAACCAGATACGGATCAGGGATATCAGAATCCTGCTCATTCAGAGTAAACTTTTTATAGCAGGACCAGACTACCTTTTTTTAGTACTTACAAAAACAGACACAGGCTGAAATGTTGAAATGAAAAACTTATAAACAAATGCACCATTTTTCAATACTACACAAAAATATTTCTAGACCTTTCTCTATATTGTAAAATAAACTGATATGCACTAATATAAACTGATATATCAGAATGGTGTGCAAGATAAATTACATGGGTTTAAAAAAACAATATAAACACAACCAATAATGATTTATAATCAAAGATATGGATTTAGCTGTGCATGAAACATCACTAACAATGTCATATTAAAATAGGTATCTGCTGAGGTCTCAGTACTTACTAAAATAAGGGTTTGGGTAAGCATAATCTAGATATAGAGGATTTTATTATAAAAAGATTTAACTTTTTTTTTATTTTTATATTTTCTTTCTTTATCTTAAAAAAGTGTCTGGGTTAAAGTTAGTATTTTTAAAAAAAGTGAACAGAATATATTAATACTTTGTAGATCATCTGATGTAACTGGTTCATAAAAAATAATATTTGTATGTATGTAATTTGTTACATATGGTGAATCATACTAAGCTGTGTAGGGGAGAGTGGTACTGAATGGACCTTGTACTGAATGGACCATTAGAAAAATAAAAACTTAACAAGCTGTTAATTGATTTTTTTTAATTGCATATAATTTTTGTATACTCAAAGTTTCTTTGATATTTTTGGTTTAACGTTATTCGTAATAATGCATTAATATTTGCATTTTTTGTTTTTTTCGAGCAAAAAGTAAATTTTTATCTTTTCAATTTGTTTCAATTTACACTAGATTTTTAAGGTAAAGTTAACTATGGTTAATAATAATATTATAGATACATATTTTTTACTTTGTATAACATTAGAATGAATGTTATATGATTTACTGATTGCTGTGATTATATGGGTAACATGTACATTTTGATTAGTGTACTGGATGAACCACCATTGATTGTACTGAATGGACCGGTTCATTTTTCTGCGAAGTTATTTATCGCGCTTCAGTATTTTACTTACTAAAACAAAATACAGAAGTTTTTTTATCTAAATGAACTAAGGAGATGTGAGTTAGGAAATAAACCAAAATATCTAGTTAACGAAGACTTAAGGGCGCAAGTTCAATTATTCATTATTCAATATAATATTAAGGTAAGCAGATAATATAATATTAAGATAAGCAGACTAATAGCTTACATATTAGGTTAATAATTATTAATTTGTAGTTTGTTTCATTATTTCAATAACTGAATGTCATAATATTATTACGATATATAAATAAGGTGGTATTACTTTTAATAACATCTAGCATATAACATTTGTTATATATACTATATATAATAAAAGTTATATGCTAGATATGTTATATGGCATATAATATGCTAGATAAGCTATATGCTAGATATTATATAATATATCTGAAATGTTATTTATACGTTTTTAAAAACAATGACAATTACCATGGTCAGTAATTTTTACAATACAAAAAATCAAGTAATATCTAATAAAACCAAGAATAAAATTTCGTAAATTAATTGTTATATTTAAATTACTAAAGCTTGTTGATCATAATAAAAAAATTATTCTACATTCAAGCTTTTATATAATTTAGTTTTTTATACATGTTATATGTGCGTGCGTGTGTGTGTTTAGATAATTAAATATATATATATATATATATATATATATATATATATATATATATATATATATATATATATATATATATATATATATATATATATATATATATATATGTATATATATATAAAATAGCATGAGAGAAGTTTCAGTCCATAGGCGAAGTGGTTTGCTTAAAAAAAGTTTTAAAACAATAAAAAAAGAAATCTCTTTGCTAATAGCTAAAAGAGCTATTTAAAAAACGTAAATTTACAATTTTTTTTAAAAAGAGAAGAGTTTGACACGCATCGCTAATTTTATTTTAAAAAAAGGAGATCATTTGCTCTTTTGCGCTGGGATTTTTATTAAACTTTAATTAAAATGCTTATTAATTTTTGGTTTACTCTGCGAGGGAAATCTTTTAATCTTTTTGGCTTTGTTTTTTAACTGAATATAACGTTTGGTAATTTATGGACAACAAGTTTACTGTTTATATATACTTGTTACTGTTTCATTTAATGACAGTAATAAACAGAAAAAATTTTATAAATTGTATTTTTGGAAACTATTTAATTATCCGGAAAATATAAAAAGTTTAAAAAATATCCGGAATTCTGGAAATATCCGGAAAAAGATAATTTCTGTATCAGTAAAAGTTAAGTTTTTAAGAGTTTAAGAAAATAAAAATAGGAACTGAGTTGAATGAGATAAATATTTTCAATACTTCAAAATTGTTTTTTTATTTTAAAACCTTGAAAATGATAATATTTATACTTGATACTAACTTCAATTTATTAACAAAATATTGCACCATTTTACAATGATATTGTGTTAACCTAATGTTAACTAACAATGATACTACATAAATGTCAACGGATAATGATGCTACATTAAACTGATACATGACACTATGTTTAATGTTTTAGACAAAGTCCAAATCATCATAAGATTGCATCTTTTCTCTTTTTAACTGATACTATATTTACTGTTCATACAAGCTTGTTTACATCTTGTTCCATCAACCAAAATCTCATATGACTCAAGCAAGGCTGTATACTTTTATTGCATCTATTTTTTCATCTTCAAAAACTTTTATTCATCTAAATTTTTTCCTTGAAAATCAATGCCTTGAAATTCTCACCCACCTTATTGATTTTATGACTCAATTTATAGTTTTTTAAATTTTCTGTTTATTTGCTCTTTAACTAATTTTCTAGTAACTTCCAACTTAAATAGTGGTTGCCAGGGATGCGGAGTACCAAAAAGAACTCTGAATTAAAGTCACAAAAAGATTACTTCTGTCTAGTTAATGGTATCCAGGAGCTTTAAAAATATAAAAAAGCTTATGGGCTACTTATGAGGGAAAAAATAAAGACTTATAAGTCAGAAGAACAATCAATTTTCGAACCCAGAGTCCTTGGCTATAATGGCGACAAAGACTCCAGGACTCCGGGCTTAAAAACAATAAGTTCCAAGTCATTAAATATCATAAATTTTAGTCAACCAACATGTTCAGAGCTTCTCGACATCAGAGACAATAAAAAATTAAAATTGTAAAGACAGAGTCCTCTTGGGACTTCCCATCCCTGGTGGTTGCATAGTAACTTTCAACTTTAATAGCGGTTGCTTAGTAACTTCCAACATAAATAGTGTTTGCTTGGTAACTTTCGACTTAAATAGTGAAGTTACTTTCAAGTAACTTCTAATTTAAATCGCGGTTGCTTTCAGCTTTATTAAAAGCAAATTTGTTTAAAAAAAAAAAAAAATAGTTTAAACAAACTTCTCTAAAAAGATTTTTGAAAACAAAAAAAGTTTAAAAATTCAAATAAAAATAACAAAAGATTTATACAATATTTTAGGATATTTAAACAATGAGTCTTACACACAAACTCTTATGAAAAAATATTTTACTGCATACCCATATATCCCACAGTACCAACACGACCTTTAACAGTTTCATTTGTAGGTACATAAATAGCTAAGCCAAGATCTGATATCCTTGTATGACCTGTAATGTTGTTATTAAAATTTAGCAATAGTTTACTATTTTTTTGCTATAAAGTATTTGCTTCTCAAAATTTACCTAAGTCATCAAGGAGTATATTTTCAGGTTTCATGTCTCTAAATAAATATATAAACATAATATATATATATATATATATATATATATATATATATATATATATATATATATAATATATATATATATATATATATATATATATATATATATTATGTTTATATATATAAACATAATATATATATATATATATATATATATATATATATATAAACATAATATATATATATATATATATATATATATATATATATATATATATATATATATATATATATATATATATATATATATATTATGTTTATATATATAAACATAATATATATATATATATATATATATATATATATATATATATATATATATATATATTATGTTTATATATATAAACATAATATATATATATATATATATATATATATATATATATATATAAACATAATATATATATATATATATATATTATATATATATATATATATATATATATATATATTATGTTTATATATATAAACATAATATATATATATATATATATATATATATATATATATATATATATATATATATATATATATATATATTATGTTTATATATATAAACATAATATATATATAATATATATATATATATATATATATATATATATATATATATATATATTATGTTTATATATATATATATATATATATATATATATATATATATATATATATATATATATATATATATATATATATATATATATATATATAAACATAATATATATATATATATATATATTATGTTTATATATATAAACATAATATATATATATATATATATATATATATATATATATATATATATATATATATATATATATATATGTACAATGATAAACTATTTAAACTAAATAATATATTTTAATTAAACACATATAAATTTAAACGCACCTATAAACTATTTTTAAAGAGTGTAAATACAGTATACCACTTGCGATTTCTGCTGCATAAAATATTGCTCGTTCTTCTTCGAAACCGGGATTACCTATGTTGTGAATGTGAAACTTTAAATCTCCACCATTCATTAATGAGAGAACCATGCATAAAGCATCTTTTGTCTCATGAGCGTATGCTAAACTAACCTGAAAATTCAAGAAACAACAAAAAATAAAACTTAAAAGTAAATACTTCAAGTATGCACTAATATTCAGAATTTGAACCAGTATTTGAAGTCAGCTGAGGAATTTGAAACCTGCAAACAACTAAAAATAACAAACATGGAAAAGAGAAAACCATTTACCACAAATCTGCAGTCAATTTTTTCTAGTAATTGCTTTTCATTTAATGCCATTGACTCTCCTTTTCGCTTTTTTATTCGTTTTTTTTCAAGCTTTTTCATTGCATACATCATACCAGTAGCACGACTTTGACATGCACAAACCTTTCAAAAATTAAATCTTCTGTTAGAAATTAACCTCATTTTAGTTACAATACTATTAATTTTATTAAGGTTCAGCAATACTTAGGGTCACAAACTAATATATATTTGAATTAAACCACTTTAATTATATATCATACTTCACCAAACCCGCCTTTGCCAAGAACTCTATAATGCCGGAACAAATTTTTGGTAACAGGAGCTCTGTAAAATAGAACAATATAGTATTTGTGCATGGTAATATGTCAAGATACACTACTTTGTAAAAAATTTTATTCAATAAGAAAACTATTAGAACTTAAAAATCATAAAAATGAACTTTGAACTTTGAACTCTAAAAATAAGTTAAAATAACTTTGAACTCTAAAAATAATGGAAACAAAACTTCTGTTGCTTCTGTGTTCAAAAAAAATAATAAAAAACATAACAAGTTCAGAATGAAGCAATAATATAAATACGATTGCCATAATATTTATAATAATAAAAATATACAAATAAATAATATAAACATGATTGCAGCTATCAATCAAAAAACTGAAAATAGAATTCTAAAATATAGCACAAGATTTAATTTGCAGTAGTAGATTAGTGGTAGAACATAATCAAGAGATTCAAGGTTCTAACCTACATCTCTAGAAGTACTGTTCTCTATACAATGGCCAAACTCTATACAAACCTGTTTCTCTATACAATGGCCAAACTCTATACAAACCTGCTTTTCTATACAATGGTCAACAAGATTCATGTGAGTTTAGGTTTCAAAGTTTCAAATAAAATTAAAAAAAATATATGAGAAAAATGAAAATGAAATATGAAAAAAATCATTTTAAAAACACTTTAAATCAATTTAAACTTCATTAACTGTGCCTTCTCTAGAACCTAGACATAGTTTAGAAGGCCAAATAGACTTTTCTGCAATTTCTTGAACACTTTTTTAATAATGTATACCATTTGCTTGAAAAAAACAGTTCTATCTTAAATAGAAAAAAAAAAAATAGATGAAATATAAACATAAATATTTGAATATGTAATGAATAATTGGATGGAATCTACATGGAATGCTGGGAAAATGATTCAAAATTATAAATCTTGTCAGCCAAGCTAATCTCTTAGCCTTTTTGCCAAAAAAGTAATTACCAACTACAGATGTAGTCTTTTTTTCTCCCTGAAACTTTACAGATAGACCGTTGGTGGATACAGAATCTCGAGTTTGAAGCTATTGAGACTGAGTTAACCATCTAAATTTATTCTCATACAATGGAAGCAACAACAACACCACTCAAAAACCACATCAAGAAATATATTACAAAACAAAACAAAACTATTACAAAACTCTTGCAATACTTTACAAAATTAAGTATAATGTAAATAATATAATAAAAATGCATAACATAAGTAATATAAAGCCATTTTATAAAGTCAATACCACTTGATAATTTGGTTTTACCTCAGACCTTGCACTCATAAAAAGATTAGGTGAACTTTTTTTATTAAGAGGTTGTAATAACAGTTTTCTTATAATATAAATTAAATAAATACCTTTAAACATACCTTAATTAGTACATGACTAACATGTACTAATGTAAATGACTATGAAATTTATTAGTGCCTGACTAACATGTACTAATAAAGTACATGTTAATCAGGAGTAAAAAAATATTGAGCACGATAAAGAAATGCAACCTTAGCAGATCCTAATTTTGCAACAGATTTGATATATGGTTTCAAAGAAAGATCGGGAGTAAGAGTTAATCCTAGAAGATGAAGGTTAGATGACTCATCGAGTTCATTACCGTTCATAAATATGGGAAGGTCTAAATTATTGCAATAACGATTGACTGAAAAAATTGGGTTTTATCTGAAAAAAGTTCACCAACCACTGTGAGCCCCATGCTGTAGAAGAAGTGAGAACCTTTTCATGCTCAAATATCCCCTCCAAGCAATCAGAGAGTGTTGGCTTCTTATCAAGACAAGAATAAATGGTTATTATAATCAGCGAATAATGCCACCTTAGATGTGAAAAAATCTGGAAAATCGTTAATGTAAATTAAAAAGAGTATAAGGCCAAGGATAGAACCTTGAGGAACCCCTAAAGTTACAGGATATGAAGAAGAGCGCTGTTCATTGAGGACAACTTTTATACTACGATTGGAAAGGAAGGATTTAGTAATCTTAAAGAAGTTACCTGATACACCATAAGAAGAAAGCTTATGAAGAAGATCTGCATGCCAAACTTTATCAAAAGATTTAGAAATGTCAAGAACAATAGCCCTAACCTCTCCACATCTATCTAATGCACGATAAAATCTATCAGTTACGACTGTAGGCAAAACAGCTGTAGAACGAGAAGATCGAAATCCATATTGATGATCAGAAAGTAAATTATTAGATTCAAAATGAGAAAAAGTGTTTGTTAATTAGAGATTCAAAAACCTTGCTTATGATAGTAAGCAAAGTCTTTGAATCTAACTTTAGTTAAACAAGTCAGATCGCTCTCCAGAATTATTGAAAATAGGGATAACAGATCCTGCTTTCCAGCAGGCTGGAAAACAAGACTTTGATAAGCACTTGTTAAACAGTTTTGAAAGTATAGATGACAGATTCGGAGAACACTTCTGCAAAACTATAACAGGTATGTTGTTTGGACCACAAGCTGTAGAAGAGTCTAAGCAGGAAATCACTTAAGATACAGAAGCTGGAATGATACAAATATAATAATAGAATCTATGGCGGGGTGTTAACTCACTCGCAATTCTACCTGAGTAGTACATTAAATAGGTGATTTAATTAATAGTACTAATTGCACATTTTTACATCAGTGCAATATCTGTCGCTCTCTCTATGCCATCTTTCTAACTCGACTTCTTCTGACTTTCACTTTATTATCCTTTGCTCTGCTTTAATTCACTTATTCTTGGTCTGCAAAGTGGGTTATGATGCTCCTTAAGGAGCTTTAACTGTCTTCTATGAATGTGGCCTCTATATGGCAAATAGCTGGAAGAGGATAAACCACAATATCCAAAGTAATATATTATTTTAATTTAATTTTTACCATTTAAATTTAATTTATTATTTTAATACTATTGCTTATTCACGGAGATACATCTGCAAAGCCGTAAACGTTTTAAACTATTAATTGTTTACAAAAATAGAAGTTTTGAATATATATTTTTTAAACTATCAAAGTTTTGTAAAGTTTATTATATATAATAGATTTTAGTAGTATATTATTGTTTTTTTTAAGTAAATGTAATTTGATATGTTTTTTTTATGTAAATGTATTTCTTTTAAAGCAACTTGTACAATTGATTTTGTAAATAAAAAGACTTTTAACAATGACTGTTTTTCAATGAAATCATTAACAATTATAAAAGTTAATAAAACTAACTATGAATAAACATACAAGAATAAACTTTTTAAACTATGCGAAGCATGCAATAGTCATTAAAATAATATTAATTTTTAATTTAACTAGCGTTAGTTTTATTAGAATCTTGTTGAAGACAAAAGTAAATAAATAAAAGAAATTATATTATACTCTTTGATAATAGAAGAACATTTGTTTCTTTATTAAATAATCATTATTAGTAAGTTGTTACTTTATATTAAAAATGTCGCATAATTTATAAAAAAATTACAAAAAAGCAAAGTTAAGCAAATATTAGTTCTAGACAATTCATTTTGTTTCATGTTTTTATTTCGCGTTAAAAATTATTTACCTTTCGATATACAGGGGAGGCGGGGTGGGTTTTTTGTCCTTTTTTTCACCAATTATTCTTTGCTTCATGCAAATCTTGATTAAAAATTGTGCAAAATATATGTTTGCTATTCTAAACTGCCTTTTTTTTCAAAAAACGACCCCACTTATAAAATTATACGGTACGGGCCTGCTTTCTTAGTTAAGTTTTTTTGTAATTGCCTCTCATTGCTCCAGTTAAATCTTTCTTAGTGTTTTTTTATGGAAATGTTCTCAAAACAACTAAAGAACCATGGCCAAATTGTCGCAACTAAATATTTTATGCATGGTCAGGCATCGAGTGCGATCACACATGCTTCCTGACCAAGCCTGTTTATACGTGCTTTATATAGTAAATTAACACTTAACTATAGAAGTTAGCTTTTAAAAAAATATTTTCAGAAGTGTCACACAACCTCAAAAGATTTGATGGGTCTCTAATACTATCAAACAAAAATGTTTTTTAACAGTGTCATGTGAAATTGTATTAAAATTTTGAAAACATTAATCTTTATATAAAAATGAAAAAATACAGATACAAAAAGTTTCCCTATATAAATATACATTTTATTTATAACAATAATAATATAAAAACTAAATAATAGAAGTTTATCAAAAAAAGTATAATTGAATTACTAGAAAATTTAATGATATTTGCATTCCATTAAATCAAATTTTAACAATCCTAAAGCTTGATTAAATAGTTCTACGGAGAACTAAAAGAAAGTTTTTCAAGAACTTTCAGGGTTCATTGAGACATTGATATAGACCTAAACACAAGCATACGACATTTTTATAAATTCATTTTTAGACTTGTATAAACTGTCATTGATGATATCCTACTGAAATAGCTACCTGTAGGGGGCTTCAGTTCACATTAAAATATGTTTTTAAGGGGGATTTATTATTTTTTGAGCTCACTTTTATAGTTTTTGAAGAGAATCTTATTTTCATATCTGCATTTAGAAATCAATTCTGATCCTTGGCTCACATGTGTAATTATTTGAAATTTTTTTCTAGTAGATATAATATGCATTTTTTGGAAATATTATTATATGCAGGTGTTTTTTTAATGATGGACCAAAACAATAAAAAGGTATGAATTTTTTAGTTTTTCAATTCCCATATGTATTTTGATAGCATTATGCCTTTTAAATACCTTTTATTTTTAAAGGATTGCTTATGATTGGCAAAATATTTTCTCTATTCACCGTCTGCTAAGCCAATATATTGTTTATCAGGTACATTCTTATAGGAAACAATACATTTATATACCACGTTTTTTGATAAACATTTTTCACTCATTAGACAATTATTTCTTTTGTTAACAATTACAATTTTCTGTAACTTTATCATTTAGGATTTTTTATGTTTAACAAAGCATAATTGTGACCTTTAATTATGCTTTCCACATTTTTTGTACAGCTGTAGCTAACTTTAATTGTATTTCGATTAAAAATTTTATGTTATTATTTCAATAAAATTTTTTATGTTTTTAGAAGGCGGAAAGTTTTTTATCAATCAATTTTAAAACACTTATCCAATGTTAGTTGAAACATTTTTGCTACATGGGAGAGGGGGAGAGGGGGGTTTGAACCAAATTATATTTCTAGCTCTATTTCACTTTTTTGCATACTTTTTTCAAGTTTAAATTTTAGTTCAAAATTTTTAAATCAACTTTTTTTAAGGGCATCTTTGTAAATACGTTTAGAGGAATTGAATATATTTTCATCAGAGAAATTTTGGATTAGCCTGTTATTAATTGAAATTGGGATTTGTTTTAGAATTCGGGGTGGATGATTTTAGTTTATATTAAAATACAATAATTCATCATTTGATTTTTTTAAAAGGTGTATATAAATTTTTGAAAGAGATTAAAAGAGACATATCATCGGTATACAAGTGAAATAAGTCCATTTTTGGCAGTATAGAGTTATACCACTATTTAGTATTTTAAATTTTCTATTGTTTGATATACCACACAAATTTAATAAATTAATTATTAATAAATTATTAAGATAAAGTTTTTTTATTTTAAATATTACACAAAAACTTATTTGTTCATATATTTATATATTACCTTTCAAGCATTTTCCATTGCAAATAGCGCTTAAAATGGTAGCTGTTCAAATAATCTTCAAATGGTTTGCCTTTTAAATAATTCTGCAGTTCTCTAAACACATATATAGACATATTAAAGTATTAATATAATTTATAAATTTTTGAAGCATGAGCCAATAAAAATTAATAGAAAAGATTGAAAAATGCCTCACCTTACACAAGGTAAAAATGTTGAGTGAGTTGGTTCTGTAACAGATTGACGACGAACAAGCTCAATAGTATCTGTATTGACAATGTCGTTAAAAATATTTTCTCTGTCCTAAATTAATAATTTTACATTACCAATATTATCCCGAATAACTATTAGTAGTAATTAAAAGTAAGAAATTAATTAATAGTAATTAATAGACAAGAAATATCAGATAATCCACTTAATTTAAAGTTGTTGATTTTTTTTAAAATATATTTCAGTTCTTTTTAATAATTAAAGGGATCCCAAACTCCCAACACATGTTATGTTCATAATAAAAATATTGTTAAAAAAAAAAGGTTTGAACCAAGTTTTTTTGATTAAAAATAAATAATGAACGCATACCGAGAAAAACAAATGTTGATGTTTTAGCCAAAGCTTGCCTTCTCCATTTTATTCAATAACTCAAAGTCTTTAAATTGTATGTCGCAATCTACAGACTTTGACAATTTCTTTGAAGCACGTTTAATTCATAAAAGTTTTAGTATTTAATGTCAAGGTAGACTTTTAACAAATGAAAAGTGTAATTAAACAAAGCTGCATTTTTCTAAGTATTTTTTTAATATACAGAAAAACAATTTTATTTGTATTATTTTTCCAAACATCGCAAAAAAATTTTTGTAAAAAGTAAAAACAATAAATTATTTTTATTTTATAGGAGCAACTTATTTTTTACAGATATCTTAATTTTTAGATTTATATATCTTACTTATATTTCTTTTGTTTTAAATTAAAACATATATTAAAACTTTACTTACCAATCTTATGATTTTCATACGAGTAATTTACATTATAAAGAACGTTTTATATATGGTCGCTGGTTTTTGTGCAAGAGAGCGCAGTATTATTTATTCTGAATTTTACTTATTTTCATTTAAACAATTTTTTAACTTCTCTGGTTATTTTTACTCTATGACCTTTTTTTTTCCCATTGAAAAAAAGTATTTATTAACAATTACTTTCATAAACTGACAGTATTAATTAGAGATATTTGATGAATTGTTAACTTTTTTTATTATAAAAATTTTTTGATTACGCTGATTTAATTTAAATTGCTAAATTTTCTGAATTGGATATGGATAAAAAAAAATATCATTTTATTTTACATTTGATTTTTGATAAAGAAACTTTTAAAATGTCAGAAACTTCATACCAATTAGAACCTGTTATGTTAAGGTTATGAAAAAAATGTACAAGAATACACTAAACAATACAGTTGACAGTAGTATCAGACATGAAAATTCGTGATATGTGAGATCCTGTTTTGCATTAAAAGTGCAATTAATAGCAACACAAGTCGGCATTATAAATTTTGATTATAAGTTTACTGTTCAATATTTTATAACCATCAAATTAAAAACATGAAGCACCTATATTTTTGCCTGTTTTATACAACTAATATTTAACAAAAACACGAACAAATTATTATTAAATAACGCAATAATTAATACATTAATTAATGGCAATAATTCATAAGATAGATGGTTATTTAAAATGTCAAAATGTCATAATGCGTGTTGAAAAACATATTTTATTTGGTATTTCCCAATTTGTGTCGTATTTGGCATTTGTCTCTTATCATGAAAAATTAATAAATAAAGAATTTTGAATTGACAAATACAAATTTTCAAGCAATTGTCTCTTCCAATTCTCATTTATTCAAAGAAAAGTTAAAATTAAACTTTTATTTCTCTCATCTAAAAAAAGAATGAGTGCAAAAAATATATATATATTCTATACAACTCTTATTTATTTGAAGTTTAATTACGCGAAACTTTTCTTTCCCCTTTGTTCTACTCTTTTATAAAAAGAACTCGCGATGAAATAAAAACTTTTCTTTCTTAACATAAAATTAAACTTAGAGATAAAATTAAAATTAGAAATAAATCAATAATGAGCAAAGTAACTAACAGATTAATCTGGGACTATTTTGATATTAATGAAAATAATCAACATAAACAACATTACCAACAGCAATATAATCAAATAAACAAAACAATATTGCATAATTTTTGGGGCTTTTTATTTTTATTGCTTAGTCATTCTAAATAAAAAGTAAATTTAGTTCAAGTTAATATTTCAATATTTACAGTTGCAATATAATAAAGAAATGATGCTTAATGTTGAACTTTTTATTTAGTTATTTATTTTTTAATTACATTTGTTATAAAAAACTTTAGAAAGTCATTAAAATAATTTGTTTTAAATATATTTCGATGTGATTATTCAAACTAATTTTTTTCGTTAGACTTTTTGAACTTCATGCAAAGCAAATTGAGACGAAATATCGCCTAACCAAATAAAAATGCTGTTACTAATTTTATACGGGTAATTAATATAAAACAATTTTTTATCAGAGTCTTGATTGAGATAATAAATATTCATGATTTATAAACATTAAACATATGGCGCAATAATAATTTAAGCAATGAAGCAGCATAAAATATTTGAGGTTTTTAATATCTTTTTAAATATTAAAAATAGAAACAAAAAAATTTAAAAAATCATCAAAAAAATTTTGAATAAAAGTAAATAAAAATGTTAGTAAATAAAAGTAAATAAAAAAGTCTACTGTGATGTCAAATACCAAAACTTTTATGAACTAAATGCGCTTCAAAGGAATCGCCGAAGTCTGTAGATTGCGATGTATAATTTGAAGACTCTGAGTTATTGAATAAAATGGAGAAGGCAAGCTTCGGCTAAAACATCAATATTAGTTTTTCTCGGTATACATTCATTATTTATTTTTAATCAAAAAAACTTGGTTCAAACCTTTTTTTTTAACATTATCTTTAATATGAACACAACATGTGTTAGGAGTTTGGGATCCCTTTAAAGCTTTCTTTACAAAAATCATTTTATTAATAAGACAACAGGTAAAACAAAATATTGCATGAGACTGCCACGAAAAGTTTCTTTTTTTATACTAAATGATTAAATGTTAAAATCTTAAGACTTAGCGACATAATTTGGCAAAAAAAACCTACAAAAACACTACTTTGATATTAATAAAAACTTTTAAATTCAACAAAAAGTAGTTTTGTCATAAGTTTTTGTCATAACAAATTTAGAAAAAAGCTTTAATAGCCAGCAAAAACCTTTATTTTAAAGTTAAAAACTTTGTCTTTTTTCTCAACCTTGTTTACCTTATGTCATTTACACTTGGTTTATTCTTAACTTTCATTAATAAAGAAATAATGAACTCCAAAGAATGCAATAACACTTAATTCATACAACTCCATTATTCTAAATCATCACTTGCCATCATTCTATTAATCCAACAAACACTCACACAATTAAAAATCTACCATTTCATTAAGTCATAATTTTTTTTCAAAGGTGAAAAATGCAACAACATTGCATGGTCAGCCTCTTAACATTTTGAAATATAATTTGTAGCTGCGCTATAAAATAGTATATCTGTATACATACTGAATTACTTACTGAAACCAGTTGTTAACCTTCTAAAACTAAAATAACTTAAAATATAAAAAATAGTTAAAACATATAAAACTATGTCTGTAAGTCACAAAACTCAACTACTCATTAGAGAACTTTTTTTTCATTCTTTAAATTTTGAAAAAATTTAAACCATAAAGGACTTTAACCCAAAACCTTACACCTGCATTATAAGTAACACAGATATGGCAAGAATTGTGAGACACAAGAAGTGAACGATAAAACACTGGAGGATGATGGAATTGTACTCTTTTTTTTTTAGTATGACATACTTAAATGAATACTACTAGATTACAAAATTTTCCTTATTTTCCTCATTTGTTTACACGTTTTATATAGTTGTCTGAAATAGAGTTTTAGAACAAAATCATTTGATTTCGAGGAAGTAATTTTAACCAAAATCAAAGAAACTGTTTTTTAAATCAAAGATCTTGCCTTCCTTTCCCATGCAAGTAAGCAAGAAAAAAATAACATTTGTAAATATACAAAATTTAAAAATACAAAATTTTTAAAATTAACTTCCAAATATTAACAGACACAATTTTGTTGGGAAAAAACAGACATGAAAAAGAAAATGGCAGAAAAAAGACATTGAACAGCATTTTTAAAAAAAAGCATTTTCAAGAGTAGAAGTTTAATGAAAATGCTAAAACAAAGAAGCTGCAGTAAAAATGTCTGCATCAAAAGAATAATAATTGATAACCTATTACCTAAATTAATCCAAAAGATGTTTTTATCAGGTTGGAAATCAAAATATCATGCAAATGTGTCCAACAGATATTGTCAACACTACAACTGAATTTCCTCCTAAAGTTATGATACACATTTCAATTCTGTGGTAAATGACAAGACAAAAGAAAGGTCTTTTTAAACTAAAAAAAGATCAAACTAAATGTGAGAAGAAAGATAATTTTAAAACTAAAAAACGGTTTAAATTAAAAAGACAATATTGATACTAAAAATAGTTTACTTTTAGAGAAAATTTTTTTAAACTTTTTATTAGAATTTAACTAGTTTTTTTTTTTAAATATATCACTAATTTTGCATTTATGTTATTAAACTCTATTGGTTTTTAATTGTAATTATAAAAAAATTGTCACTGTCGTGGTAAATCCAATATTTAATTGTGGGTAAGGATAGAAGAAAATAGTACACCTTAGATGGTAATCTTTTTAGAGATCACAATACAAGTATTTTCTTAAAAACATGTTTACGCCAGGAAGAGCGTCTGGTTGTAAACAATAATTTGCTCTAACTCATTCCTAATGGCATATTTAAATGAAAAAAAAAGACATTGTGGAAACACGTCCAAACCAAACAAGAGTGGAACTATGGACGCTAAACTTTAAAAAGATAAAAAATGAATGATTATTAATTTTAATGAATATCTGTTATAAAACTTTTAGCTTTATAATTTATAAATAAAATACTTTTTTTTGTACTTTTATTTTTATTTTTTATTCATATTTTTATATTCACATAATGACATGTTTTGATGGATTTTTACTACCAATAAACAAACAGATATGCATTATATTGTTTACTATGATGCAATACATTGTTCATTATTTTTCCAACAACTTTAATCTCAACAATAAAGAACAACATCCTAACAGTTTTGTTCTTGCATGATCTTTATTTAACCATGAGGATGTCAATATCAAAAAAACTCTGACAATTCATTGTAAAATTACTAAAAAATCACACAAAAGAAGCACAACTTAGAAATATAATAGAAATTTGTTTATGCATCAATAAAAAGAAAATAAACCTTGTCACAAATATCTGACATAGTAAAAAAAAAAAAATTAAAAAAATTCAATAATAATTTTGATTAGATCAATCATAATAGATGAAATTCATAATAATTCATCTATTATTATGAATCTCATCAATTATAATTGATCTAATCAAAATAATTGTTGAATTTTTTTAATTTTTTTTTTAATATATTAAATAATTGTGATAAGGTTTATTTTCTTTTTATAATGATTGATGAGATTCATAATGATAGATGTCATTCATAATGATAGATGTTTTTATTTGAAAAATATCACGTTGTTGAAGAACAGTTGCAAAATTTTACCAAAAACATTAAAAGGTAAGTAATTTCTTACTTGTCTGCAATATTAAAATTTGTTGTGCAAATTACTCTAATGACAAACAAACTACCATTGTAAAACATTTTTTAAAAAATTTTTATATTAGCAATCTGCTACTTTTAGCAATGTTCTATGACTAAAAAAAAACAATAATACTTTAACTGGATTTAAAGGTCAATTTGATTTCATCATTAAATCAACTGAAAAAGTAGATACAAATATTTTGTATATTATGTGAACTAACAAAAAGTTGATGAAAATATTGTATATATCTTGTGGCCTCTTATGTGAACTAACAAAATTATTTATTAACAATTTTCAAAAGTATTTTCAATGTTGAAATACAAAGCTCACTGATGTAAATGATAACAAACATAAACAAAGAATTATAGATACAATGAATGACAAACAGATACAAAGGATTATAAACACAAATGTAAGCAATAACTAGAAAAAAAAAACTATATATAGCATAGATATAAGGTATAACAAATAGTTAAAAAGGATTACAAACAGAGATGTATTATATAAAAAACAGATAAAATATATATATATATATATATATATATATATATATATATATATATAAATGTATATATAGATGACAAACAGATAAAAAAGATTACGAATACAAACGTAAGAGTAAACAATAAACATCATTTCATCTTATAAACATTTACTTAAATGATAAAAACCTCAATTTGTAAATACTGAGCCACCAATTGAGATGCTTTTGTTTGTCTCTCAGAATCAACTGAGCATTCATATTCTTCCTACAAAAATATGGAAACTATGGAAACAATTGAAAAATATGGAAACAATTGAACAATTAAAAAATGTAGAAACTATGGAAACAATTGAAAAATATAGAAACAATTGAATTCAAATTTACACTTTTTGTTCATACCAAATATCAATATTAAAATTTGTATATTATAATTTATATATTAGAATATAACAAAAATATGATATTAATTATATAAGCAAAACAATTTTTAATTGAGTCTAAATTAAATTTTATTTATACAATTTTTGTAGAATTAACCTTAGATACAACAACAAACAATAAAAAAAGTATTATAATAGAAACCTATAGTCAACCTACAGTTAGACTTGGTCTTAAATGCTAACAAACTTATGATAATAGAAACCTATAGTCAAAGTATCAAACATAATTTGTGACACAATGCACAACAATATATAGACATAAGTTGTAGTTTATGATGAATAAAAAAAATAAAAATATGCTAAACTTTTAATTTTAGTTATTTCACTTTTGCACTGAAAAAATTTAAAAATTAAAACAAACTATTACATAATATAGGTCCAAAAAATTATTAAATATTAAAGCAATACTGTTAGGTTATTCCATATAAAACCACCTAGTTTTTTTTAAGTGCCCCAGCATACCACCTCAGATTTGCTTTAAATTTTGACCACCCACAGATTTTATAAAAAAACACAACCCAAATAATTTTTGCTTGATTGACTAAACGGTTCTAAAGTAATAATTGATTCAAAATAGGTAAAACTTGAGTATGTGAAGCTTACAGTAGATTTCTTTGATTTTTGACAGACCATAACTTTGTAAATAAAAAAGATAATGATCTGAAAACTTGCAGATTTTTTTGACTGACTTTATTTTTGGGTTATTGTTCCTCAAAGATACTAAATAAAGCATTTATTATGAAATTTTTTGCAACTATAATGTGCTGCAGTTCAATACTTACTGACAGGCAGTACCAATTTGTTGTTAATTTTGTGTACTTAGTGTAACCACTTGTGATAAAAATCAAAATTATGTGTTAAAATTTAGTTTAACACTTGCAGCAGCCTGTTAAATTAGTTTTTTAGAAAAACATGATAAATTACATTCACTTTGCATAGAAAATAGTGTAAACAGTTGAAATAAATTATGACATTTTTACTGTGGAAGTTCTATAAACAGACAATAAACAAAAAAAAATTTAAAGACCTATACTCTATCTTATGACATAAATTTATTGTTTTAAGTGTGATACTTTTATAGTTTAAAAGTTGACCTAAAAAATAACACAAGTAATATTGCAAAAAAAGTTAAAATAAAAAGTAAAACAATGCTGAAAGAAGAAGTGTATATACACATGAAACACAAGTACACTAATTTCTTTATACACACATTAAACACAAGTACTCTAATTTCTTTATATACACATGAAACACAAGTACACATGAACACAAGTTAACACATGAAATTGACGCTCAAGTGTTTTTTTTTTAGACGGTCAAAAAAAAATTTTTTTTTTTTTTTTTAACTTCTATCTTAGTATTACTATTCATTCACATGAATAGTGTGATAGTAATTGAGATATTCCTATTCATTCACATGGAATTTTGAGAGTAAAGAAATGATGCTCTGCTCAGCATTTATATTGTGATCTTCAAGTTGGTACATTAAGTTTAATAGATATTTGTAATTTTTATTTGTGTCACAAAGCACATCCACTGAAGTATTCAATTTTATTAATTGTGGATAGTTTGATTTTGACCATAGGGAGTAACTTTGTGAGAAAACAATGAATATCAGTTTTTTCACGACGAAGATGGTCAGAAATGCAGTAGCATTTATTTGAGTTGATCTTTTTAATATTTGTAATAAACGACAAATGGATGTAAGGTAGCTCAATTGACTTGCCAGTAAAATCCTTGTATCTTGCACCTTACACAAGAAAACTATAGTTCTCTGCAAAATTCATAAGAAAAAGGCAGGTTTGTCTAAAATTCTTTTTGCCTGTAATAAATAGGAAGATTTCTTTTATAACGTAGATGTGACAAAGATCATACAAAATTTCACTTAGAGTTTTGATAAACTTAATTATGCTTACTTGGACTGTGACAAGTGCATTTCAGTAGTTGACACCCATTGTTTGTATATGTCAATACCCATTGTTTGTATGTCTCAGTTGATACCCATTGTTTGTATGTGTCAGTTGATCCCCTTTGTTTGTATATAAGCTTATTTTCAAAATCAAAATCATTCTTTTCAAACACATTTTCTATAAGAGTCTTCAAATTTAGTTTACCAGGGCAGTTAGAATATAGATGAAACATGCAGCTTCAAATAATTATATTACAACAGCATGGAAAATAAGAAATTGAAATGGTGGGAAAAGCTACAAAAGAAATAAATAAAAACATTGAATAAAAAAAAAGTGCAGTTGGAACAGAGATATGTTCTTAGTTACATACAATTTCAAATAATAATAAATTATGAACAACCTTTAAAATAAACAACGTTAATGAAGAAAAATAATTGCACATTTTATTTCTCGACTTATTAAAATCATTTTAAAAGCTGCTAAGGTTGATTACTTAATATCAATGTTATTAAATCTCCTGCGCAAATACAATTTAAACTGATTATTAAGAAGTCAATCGTTTTATGAAACATTACTATAAAAATTACAGATGTTACATAAAATAAGATTTTTTACTATATTTCTCAATAAATCATTCATTCATATATTGTAATTTGAAGCAAAAACTTAAGAAAAAATAAATAGAGTTAATGAAAAAAACGTTAAAGATGAATGACTACAGTGGAAAGTATATTCTTAGTTAAATACAGTAGTTATTATATATTGTTATATTATTATTAAAACAATGTATTGAATATTTTTTATTAAAATCATAAAATAAGAAATTGTATCATTTTTGTAAAAATAATTTTCACCACCAGTGAAATGAACTAATCTAAATAAGTGAAGCCAAAAAGGTTAGATATAAGTTATGTCACATACAATATTCATCAACAAAGCACATCATAAACAATAAAACTATTTTAAACGCTTTTTCAAACTTTATATGGTTTTATGAAACTTTAGTATTAATATATGGTTTTTCCAAATTACATCCTGATTATTTGTCAAACATTTTTCAATCCCTAATTTTTTTTTCAACAGGTCAAGCATGACTAGCAAGAATTTATTTTGAGAGGTCAAAATAGCAATTTTAGCCATTTCAGACAGTCATTGACCGTTGATCAGCCGTTATTTTCCACACTGTACAAACACATAGTTCATCAAATCTTTATATCAAATGACCCTAGGTAGATCAGATAAAAGTTAAGTAATCAGATAATAGTAAGTAAAAGGTCTTTAAGTAAAGCAGCGCACATTAACTTTTGATGGTAAGAACATACAAAAACTGAATGACTTACACCACTGTCAAATGTGATGCAACACTAAACCCAACTTTGTGTTTAGGGTATAACTTCTTAAACTCCAGATGAAGTTCGTTTAAACAAAATTTTAGGCGATCACCTTTTTTATTTAAAAAGTTATGGTTTGTCAAAAATTTTAAAAATCTACTGTAAGCTCCAGATACTTTTTTCCAATTTTGATTCGATCATAACTTTTGAACAGATCATAACTTATGAACGGAATAAATGGATCATATTCCTTAAAAAATGGGTCATATCTTCTAAATAAATGGGTCATAATCTCTAGAAAATGGGTTAAATTATTTTATTTAAAATCATACTCCCCATCCAAACTAAAGAATTTAAACTTTTAACTTAAATTAAAAATTTTATTTAAAATTAATGCATAATATTTTTAGATTTATTTACAAATAAAAAAAGAAAACTAATCATGTTAATAACAAAGTAATTTGGAGAACAGTTAATAAAGTGTGCAGAGATCTGGTTACTCATCAAGCTTTTGACTAAATACTTTAATAACTTGTATTTGAAGCAACTAATTGTTGTAATGTTTACATCAACTTGAAATATGTAACTTACAATATATTACTAGTAAAATAATCTTTAAAAATAAACACTCTAAAATAAATATTTAAAAAATATATTTATGTATATTTAAAAATACATATTTATAAATATATTTATACATTTATAAATAAAAATAAATTTATAATTATAATTTATAAAATTATAAATAAATAAATTTTTTAAATAAAGACTCACTTAATGACTTTCAAAGAAAAATTTAAATTTTTATTATCTAATAATTGGCATAAACTTTCTAAAATCTTAAAACCATTTCAATACACATAGATAAATACCATGTCAACTTATTTTTTAGGTCTCTTGCTATCACACTTTATATAGTAGTTCAAATGCTTTGAAAAATAATATGCAAAAAATATGTTTAGTTAGCTGAATAAAATATTTTGTATGAACAACTTACAGATGAGTGAAGAAAGTCAATGATTACTTTCAGCTTACTATTAAGACTACAAAACTGCTCAAATAACAAACGACCAATCGGTTCTTTTTCAGCAACTTGATGATATGATAGATCTAAGAAAAAAATTATTTTTCAACAACTTGATGATATGATAGTTCTAAGAAAAAAATTATTTTTCAGCAACTTGATGATATGATAGATCTAAGATAAAAATTATTTTAAAAAGATTCATCAAAAAAATCATTAAAATTGTAATTTACATAATATCAATTACAAAAAAGTTTTTGAAATGTTTAAAAAAATATATAAAATACTATTTACAAAATTATATTAATTCTTATATTGTTTTCAAGGTAACCTCTTTGTCAAAACATTTCCAGAAAATAACCAGCATTTTTGTAAACATTTTTCCATAAACCTGTTAACTGTTTTTTAAGTGACCTCAGTGGTAATAAAACAGATTGTAATTCTTTATAAATTGAAATAATTCAAAAAAATATATATATGGCTGAATTTATTGTACTTGCTATAATACCAAAAATATCATGTCATAATGACTTATCAATAAGAAACTGTGAATAAATGAGACAAAAAAACCATCAACAATAAACCATAATATCAATAATATCATATGCTATAATAATATATCAATAACAAAATTTGAGCAAATAAGACAAAACAAAAAAAAACATCAATAAGGGGTTGTCCACAAATTAAGTCACACAATTTTTGACAATAATAAACTATAAAATCAATAATACCATATGCTATGAAAACGTATCAAGTTTTTTGAAAATAAAACTTTTATTATAGACTTCTTGATCAAATCTTATTGAAAAAATCTTTTGTTGAAAAGTATTAAAAAAAAATCGTTTGTTGAAAAGTATAAAAAAAAATATAATAGTATTTTAAGTCTTAGCTTTTTAAGTCTAAACTTACTATTGTTAACTCAGGACCTTTCAGCTTTATTTGAGTTCATTCACTTTTTTCAAGTTATTTAAACTTATACCCAAACTGTACTCACTAAACTGTACTATTTTTTTTTATTTTTTTTTTTGTAAAACAAATGCTTATTTTTTTTTAAATGTACTACTATTAATGATTATACTGTTATATATCAATTATATACTTAATTATATTGTATTATATGTCCTTGATTATATACTATCAGAAGTGTAATATTAAGGTTGTTGGACAATACAAGTAAACTATTTTTTTCAAAAGATGATTGAAACTACAAAAAAAATAGTTGTTAATTGGCTCTAAATGATGTAAATTTATCTAGTGAAAACCTAAATGTAAATTTGAAGTTTTAACTCGAATAAACTAAAACAAAAATTATTTTGAATTTTTATCATTCTAATCTAGTGAGGAGGAAAAAAAAATTATACAGGGTGTTTACCTAATTTCTGCCCCCCCACATGTTACAAACACAAGATTTTGAGTTGCTCTCTTAAATGCTACTTTAGCCCGAAAAATACTATAGTATGTATTTTGGTGTAACTATACTTTCTGCACGTAAAACGCTCACTTCAGATAGGATATGACCTCAGAAAATGTTTATGGGAGCCATTTTGTCAACATACATAAAAATGTCATCGAACATATTTGGTCAAGACTCCAGGACAGTGTTTTATACAATCCTCGACCTCGTAATCGTGAACAGTTGATCAGACGTGTTGAACAGGAGTGGGCTGCCATTACGCAAGAAGAGTGTTTTCGCCTAGTAGAAAGCCTGCCAAGGAGAATTACCCAATGCATAGAAAGAAATGAACAAAATACTGATTACTGACTATTAACATATATTCTTTGTCTAATTAAATTGATATGACAGTAATAAAATGGTATGTGTTTAAATACCGTATTCTTAAACCAAGATATAGGGGGTTAGAAATTAAGTATACACCCTGTATTTCCAGAAGTACAACCTTATTTCTATTAATTTAGGCTATAAATCTAAATTGACTTGTATAAACAACCTTATTGTTATTAATTTAGACCATGCAACCCATCTGACTATGTTCCTAGCAAATCCATTAGAGAATGGAATTCTAGAGACTGTTTCTTTTCATGGTGGGACTTCTATTCATCTGTAAAAGAATATGATATAAATACTACCCATAATTGTTTTTATGGATGGCCACTGATAAAAGCATATGAATGTCAGTTTCAGTAACCATTTTGAAGATGATAAGAAAAGGTCTATTGCATTAAGAGTGATGCAACTACTTTTGGTGGGGAATGGAATATGATTAGGTGGTTGCACATTAATATTCAAATAAAAAAAATACCTCCACACTAAAACCTAGTTTTTATCCAGTCAAAACAACACGTGCAGTTGCAAAACAAACTTTTTATTATTTTTATTTTATTGGTTTATAAATGTTTCCAATTTTTGTTTAATTGTTTTTTAAGCATTAACATAAGATGTATTCTCAGTGCCATTTTAGAAAAATATTCAGCAAGTGATGATTGGGGCTCACCCAATAGACTTTATGTTGGGTTTCAACACCAGCAGTCAGATATTTAATTACCAGAAGAAGAAAATCATAAATTTATGAATTACCTGTTGTATCTTAAACAAACCTGCTAAGTTTAAAATAATTAAAAGTGCATGAAATTAAATTTTACTTAGATGTTTACAAAATTTGCCAACTTATTCTTTTGAGCTAATAACCGAGAGTCTAGTTTTGAATAAAACTCAAAGCTTGGAATGAAACTTTACTATGCTAATAACTTTTTACTACTTTTTTACTTAAATGAATTGTTTTTAATAAACATTAGTTTCTACATTATATTAAGCTTTTTATATTGAGAAGTTAACTTAAATAAAAATAATGATTATATAATAATTAAATTAAATAATTAAATTATGTTAAGTATCACATATTGTTGAGTTCAGCTGAAACTTAAAAACATTGTCAGTGCTTGTATGTTGTTACTTTTTTTAAATTGTAATTTTGTAAGAAAATTTATGCACTTATTAGATAATTTACAATTTGTAGTTAAACCTGTTGCTAAAAAAGTTAATTTTTGTCATACAAACCTTGTTAATATAAATTCAGAAAGTGAAGGAGTTATAAAAAATCTTGAACTTCTTTATTTTATTTTATTATATATATATATATATATATATATATATATATATATATATATATATATATATATATATATATTTATTTATTTTTTTTACACTTTATTATTATGTTTATTAAAACAACTAATAATTTTTTTTTCTATTACTAAATATTTTAATTAAAGGTTAATAAAAACTAATTTTTTTATTTTAAATTTCATTTCAATTTATTATATTTTTAAATAATGAATATAGTTTACATAACTGCAATTTACACTATTGTAACATAAATAGTATGGTTTCTTAAACGTTAGTTCATTTATGAAACAGCTTAAACTCTTTAGACTTGTCTAAATATTACTGAACAAATCATTTTTTGAGCATATGCATATATAAAACATGAATTTTTTATATAAAATTCATACAGTGTAATACTCAGTATAAACAAGGGCTGCATCCCTAATAACTTTTTTTAAACAAAATTTAGAATCATTTTATGAAAAAGTTTAGTTGAGTATTGTTCAGGATGAAGAATTAACAAGATATAATAATAATAATAATAATAATAATAATAACTCAAATAAAGAAAATAATTACAAGATAAAAATTATACTTCAGTATAAACATGTTCATTATTATGAGAGTTAATTCTAATAACAATCTTTATTTATCATTTCATAGTATATATTAATAACTTTAAAAAAATATTAAATGACATTGTGTTTTTTAAATAAAAAATTATTTCATATATACATACCTAAAGTATCTTTTAAATGTTTACACTCAGATATATGTGGAAACTTTAGCATTTGTTTCCATTTTTTACTCTTTCCTTTTGCTCTGCCTAAAATTTAAAAAAAAAACTTTTGGTTTATAGGAGATATATATATGCAGCGGGCAAAAAATAAATAGCACAAGCAATTTTTCTTAAGTTTCTTCTTTTTAACTTATCTATTTGCTCATAGTTTTTTAAAAACTGTAAAAAAACTTAGATGTACATCAAAAAGTAATACTTTTATAAATTTTTTTATATGTATTTGTGAATGATTTTACCAAAGGATTATTGTTTTAATAAACATTAAAAGCACCAGGTGTTGCTTTTAATGTTTTTTAAAACATTAATAAAATCCCATTAATAAACTCCCATTAATAAACAAAATAATTATTGGCACAAAAATTTATACAGTTTTTTTTTAAAGTTTTGTGGAAAAAAAGTAAAATTTTGGTAAGTTAACGTCTACTTACATAAAATAACACATAAAATATATTTACATATGTAACACATAAGATATTTACATACATAACACATAAAATATATATGTAACACATAAGATATTTACATATATAACACATAAAATATATATGTAACACATAAGATATTTACATATATAACACATAAAATATATATGTAACACATAAGATAGTGATTAATTGAATAAAACTGATTTATTTTTGGCATATATATATATATATATATATATATATATATATATATATATATATATATATATATATATATATATATATATATATATATATATATATATATATATATATATATATATGGGCATTTCCATTTCTGTGCGTAATTTTTTATTTTTCTTTGTTTTTGCAATTAAAAACTGGGACTATATGCAATATGCATACTATTTTGATTTTCTTAAAGAACAATTATAACTAAAGTATATATCATATTTTAGGCTATCTGAATAAATTAAATATACACATTTTTACAATTTTATTTTTTGAGTAATAATATTGCTACATTTTGAAAAATATACAATAATTTTCAAAACGCCATACTCTAGCTAGAAATAATTGATGACTGCCGTTTCTCATCAAAAATATATTAAATATGAGTCGCAGAAGTATAATATTTCACTTGAAATACTCACTAGCAATTTATTTTCATGAAAATAATTACATGAAATTGACAAATTTGCAACATCCGTGCGTGACTTCCGTGCATGATCATTCATAAACTGCATTTAAATGATTGCTGTGACTCTATGATTCATAGTGCTATCCTGTAACTTTCTGGAAATCTTTACTAATGTTAAAAATATTATATAAAAAAAAAAGTATACCGGTGAAACTTATATTGTCCGAGGAATTAAAGTTTATTTATCTAGTAACTAAAATAGAAGTTTTTCTGTTCCGTACGTGATTCCATTTCAAACTTTATTTATTCTTTGTTAACATTACTAATTCTTACTATTTTTTGTTTACAAAATATTTATATTGATTAGAATTAAATGAGAGTAAATTGGAGATCGCTAGTTTTATTTTTATGAAAATAAAAGTAAAAACATATACGAGTTCCCGTGCGTGATTTTTTGGAAATGCCCATATATATATATATATATATATATATATATATATATATATATATATATATATATATATATATATATATATATATATATATATATATATATATATATATATATATACAGGGGTGAGTTTCCAATGAGTTAACAACCGGCTTGCTGAAAAAATAAAAACAATTTATATTTTAATTATATTGAAATAAGATTATACATATAATGTATTAATATAAGCTCCGTATGCCTACTTCATTTTCCAAAAACTTCTTCTAAGCCCTTTTTTTCACTTTTGTGTCCATTGCCAGTGATTTTCATTTATCCACGACATTATCATCGGTGTTACATAGAAATCATTGACTGGCTTTCCCAATAAATTTATGGACATCAGATCTGCAATGTGATCTATTGTTAAACTAGTTCTTAATTTTGTTACAAATGTATTCATCAAACTAAATCTTAAATTTTTTATATTAATTATTATTATATAAATATATATTAACAAAATAACTAAATTTGCAATTTTCATGTAACATAAGTTAACAAAAACATGATAAAGTTTTGTTTTTTCTAAAATTTAGTTAAAAAACTTAAACTTTTTAATAATATATATGCGAATACTACCTTTTTACATTTAAAGTTTAAAATAACGATGTTTAGATAAAGCACGTTTTTTTTAAAACTGAATGCATTTACTTAAGTTCTGGCACTTTTTTGTTGAGTTTTTGTTGCTTACAAAATGAACACTCACATCATTTTACGCAATTCTTATTTGGATAATACTTTCGCTTTAGTAAAACAAATCATTTGTAAATACAATCTAGGGGTAAATATAATCTAAAAAACTATTATCGATTTAATAACTTTGATAAATGTTATGAAAAGTCACTCATGAGTATTGCCAAATTTTTCAAAACTGCCTTTGCTAATTACTTTTAATGAATGAGTTTAATACTTTTTTTATTCTTTTGTTATGTAACTCTAAAAAATTTAACTCCTAATAATAGATATAAAAAATCTACAATAATATTCGCTCGATAATATAAGTGATGTAACATAAGTTAAATATGTAGCATCAAAATAAAAAAGTTTATTTTCCTCTGATAAATTTTTTTATATTTTTCTTATTAGTATAGAGTTCTCAACATCTTGTGAAAATTTCCAATAAAAATGCTTTACAGATTCACAGAAATCTGACTTATAAGTTGAAGCAATTTTTTTACCTTGTTTTCTGTGCAATGTAAGTTAAGTGGCATTTTCAGTAATACGTTTGCACTCTTTTAGATTAAAAATTTTTAAGCTTATTTTGTTCTTTAGACTAACAGCTTTTAAACAAAACAAATAAAATTTTAATTTACAGTTTAAATAGGCAAATATTTGATAAAGTTGTTGTGCATGTAACATAAGTTAAAATGGAATTGCCCATTCATATACAGTCTTTTCCGTAATGATAAATGCGCTAATTATCAAAACTTGCAAAGAGCCATGGTCAAGTTGTTAAAACAACTTTATGCATGGTCTTATAAGGCGTGCGATATGTATATATGTATATGTATATATATACATATATATATATATATATATATATATATATATATATATATATATATATATATATATATATATATATATATTTACATATATATATATATATATATATATATATATATATATATATATATATATATATATATATATATATATATATATATATATATATATATATATATATATATATATATATATATATATACAGGCTTGGTCGGGAAGCGGGAGCGATCGCTCTCGATTGCTGACCATGTAAATAATATTTAGTTGCAAAAAGCTGGCCAGATTTTTTAGTTGTTTTGAGAACGACTAAAAAATCGAATTTTAAAACGCAAAAAAAAAAAGCGCTGAAGATTAATTGGACCAATGAGAGACAATTACAAAAAAAAAAAAAAAATTAGGCAAATAAAATATCTTTAAACGCGAAAAAACTTACATTTGCTAAATAAATTACATTTGGAACAAATATTTTCGAAACATCGCTCTTTTATAATTTTTTTTATAAAATTAAGCGATGTTTTTTTATATTAAGTAACAACTTACGATTGTTTAAAAGGGAAACAAATATTCTTTATTTAACAAAGTTTGCAAGTTTAAGTTTCATTTAAGCTAAATTATTTTATAAATAAAAAAAGTTAATTTTTTAATACCTTGTTTATGTTTCGCGTAATTTGAAAAGTTTAACATATTTGAATTAATTCTTCTTAGTAAGATAAACAAATGAAATAAATAAATCATTGAATTACTATAGAAATTAAATTATTAACTAAATAGAACTAGATAGAAATCAACTAAAAAGGTTAAAAATACTTTATGACGAGGAAGCGAAACTGCTTCACAATATCGCTGATGATGGTTAGTGAGTGGGCTTTTTAAATTTAATTAGTATTTAAAGCAGAAAAAAGTATAACGAGTTTTAAAAATGGCAACTTAAGCGAAAATAATTAGAGTTAGTAAACCAATATCTAGAAACTTTTCTTTATATCTAATTATTTGCTATATATATTTGTGTTCTGTCGTGACCTCAGGTGCGGTGCTTGTTCATCCGCGAGTTACTTTGTATGGCGTTGTTTGTCTTTAGTAACCAGAAACTTCTTATATGTTTGTTTAACAATTTCTTTAACATTTCAACAGAATACTCTAAAACTTTATTTCGCTTAATCAGCGTATTTTTTGAACCAATAGAATTAGTTTGTTTGTTAATTTGGCGGGTTTTTAGTGTTCGCAATATTCGTTTTATTCTTTCGTACCAAGATGTTTTGAGAACATCTTCGTGCAAAAGTTTCCATGTATGTCTTTAAAACAAAAGTTTTTTGTTTCGTACATAAATTTAAATGTTCTCAAAACGACTAAAAAACCTGGCCAGTTTTTCGCAACTAAATATAATTTCCGTGGTCAGTATTTGAGAGCGATCGCTCCCGCTTCCGGACCAAGCTTGTATATATATACACAAATATATCAAGCCTTCTCAGGAGACGCCTGCCTTTTATGATTACGCATATAATTTTTTTTGTTAACAACTTGGCAAGACTCTTTGTAAGTTTTGAAAAAGCCAATAAGACGCCTGTTTTCTGGAGAATTGTTTTGCTAATAGATATGGAAGTAACGGTTTTGATTGGAAATTGCAGCAGCACAACGCAAGGAAAACCATGGAGAAGAGTGAGGCTTGACCTAGAATCATCAAGAGGGAATAAAAAATTCCATGCCAGCTTGAATCCACGAACTTATGTAAGAAGTACATTTGTCAGCAGGAAGACGAAAGGTTTCTACCCAAGGGCCATCACAAAGAAAATCACGGAAAGAGTCCCAGTCAGCTTTAAGGTAGTTGTAAGAGCTACAATGATAGGGGGATTCTGATGATCTCAGCTTCTCCACATTTACTACAAGGGTAAATGTGGAGAAGCTGAGCATTGAATAGGATCAGAAACAAGACATAGGTCAAGTAGAGAAGGTAAATGATTCGGGTTGTATG